ATTAGCCAAGGGTCGCAACGGCAGCACAATAAAGTACGTTACATACAAAGCAACGGCAAAATATTTTCAAAACCACCAGCGAATTGAATGAAATCAACCGCCTCCTGTGCATTGATCGTTGAGGTAATACTGTACTATGTTTTCAACAACGAGACGTTCTTCACGGTAGATATCACCGCAAAGCTTACATAAGGCGTCACTCTTATAGGACGATGGTAGCCGATAGTGCTTGGTCCACCCAAAGTACCTGAATTAAAATTCGTAGGGGAACTAGCCAAAATTGATGTCTGAAAGTCAAGAAAAAAATTTGTAATGAAACTTCTAACTGTAGAACTCACTTCAGGTATGCAGTATCATTGTTGCGCAGGAAATTCAAGTAATCTCCCAACTCTTTTGTGCTGTTGAAGTCGTCCAGAGCAATGAACGATTCGGATGGAACGTCAGTACCTAAAAACTTTGTTATAATCATACCGAGCAGTGGATGAGGCCCGCTCAACCACCCGTTGAGAAATGGCCCAACACGTGGTTGAGCCGGGTGGGGCCAACGAGCAGGTCGCATTTGTGATTTCTGAAAAAGGACCCTATTAGGTGACGGTATATTCCGATTCTTGCAAACTCGACGAGTGTAGCTGCATTGCATCAAAAGTGAACCAACGAAGCATACATCAGTTAATTTTCACGTTCCATTTTTTTCGAAGAGCATGAGCGTAGCTTGTCGTCAAGTATTTGGCTAATAAAATAGTAGTTTTGAGTAAAAACATAGAAATTAGGAATTTTTAGGGGGCATAGTCAAAGAATTAGTTCGACTTCCGTTTCGCACGTGCCCTTAGACGGAAGCCAAACTGAAAAAGTGCCATCCCTCCGTGCTCTTCAGTAAGGAATGGAGGAAAAAGCGTAGAAAGAGCACAATTGCTATAGTTGGCAACAAACTAGACTTGACTCTGGATATCCTGCCTCTTCACGGTAGACATACAGGGGGGACGGTCTGAGGGAACAGGGGCAAAAAGGAGTCACTTCGCCCATGATGCATATCACCAAACTTTTCGTTGCGAAGGATGCCGCTGTTATTGGAATTTATAGGCGAATTATTCCTTGGATGTTCCTCATAAGCAGCTTCATGCCCACCTTCGTTGCTTTCACCGTCTCCAGAATATGACGTCATCTATCATCACCACCGAGCTCAAGGAGGCCTACAACAATCGCTAAATTCTGAAGCTGCAACATAACTTCTTCAACCGGATATTTGGTGAGAGACTTCTTAGGGGACACTAGCTCTGACTATGCAACATGGTATGAACCGCTTGGGCGAGATCGTAATAGATTACGATCGGTTTCTCGAGACACGGTTGAGAATTCGAACCAGTGATTTGTTTCCAGTAGGGAAAATTTTCTTGACGTTTATCGGGGTTTTCGGTGTAGAGAGCCCGGGATGTATTTTTTTGATAGAGAGAATGGGCTCTAGGATATGCTTAGCTCTCGAGTTTGGTTCAGACAAAGTGTGAATTAATTCTGGTCTTGAATGTGAGGTGAGACGTGATCTTTTTTGTCTCCCCCAGAGTCAACCTCCGGGCGCACAAGAACAAGAGGGGTTGCCGCATTAGGTCGAACGAAAGAGGAGGGGGTCGTATCTAGAGAGACGGAGCTGTAAGATACGGCTTGAAAGTGCAGTGTCCTGCAGTGCACATTCGCGCTCTAATGTTCTCAGGAGCTCTGCACCGTGCAGCTGTCGGAGAGTCGCACAGACAAGAGCTCCATGGGAGCATTAGAGCATGCAGAGCATTATAAGATTCTACCAGCATTGGTTTATTCCTTGTACACGAGACAGCGCTTTCGTCTACAGATAGGGTTTAAATTAAATAGCAAAAAACTTGTTTAAAACGTTAGGTGCAAAAACATGGTCTGTCTTCGATGATGGAACATTCCTGAAATCCCAAGGAGAACAAAGTAAAGAGCAGTCATGGGGAGTGGAACAAGAATACCATATGACAGTACATTGCAATTCAGTCACGATGCTAACACCTTCTTCGGGAAAATGGAGGACTTTCAAATGCGAGTGCGACTTCTGTCCACAGACAGGTGTTGCACGGGCTACCGAGCAGGCGTTTTCTTACAAAAGCGCCTTATCTGTCAGTGGCCGTGAGCAGACAAACTTCCTTAAGAGAATTTCGATGCTTTCAAATTGACTCTAAGCGGAACAAAGTGTAGCGAACTTGCTGAATTGACTTCTAGAGAGCCCTTAGGAAAATCGAGGGAATAGAGAGAATTTCAGGAAATTTCACACCTAATTATAAAGTACTCTTCAAGTAGATTCCAAACGGTCTTCCGCTTCATCACATCAACTTTGAAGGAAGTTATGGGCCTTTGAAGACTGCATAGTCGCGGTCCAGGAAAATGGCTTGAAAAAAATCAAGGTGGAAAAACGGAACAACGGGACTATTTTTTGAGCGAGTGATTATTTAAAAAAGTTTAGCACTTGTTCGAAAGCTCTAATCTCCTCTAGTTTCTAATTAGCCTTAGACATCTGCAAAATGTTGATATGAAGAAAGTTATGAACGTTTGAATGTCGAAAACTCGCGCCTTCTCAAAAATCGGACCACAAACCCCCAAAAACGGAACAACGTGGACTATTTTTTGAGAGAGGGATCGTTGGAGAAAGGTGGAGATTACTGGAACTTGAAAGTTCCAATCTTCTAGTTTCTAATTAGCTTGAATATCTGCAAAAAGTTGACTATGAAAGTTAGGAGTGCTTGAATGTCGAAAACTCGCGTGTGCACAAAAAACGGAACAACGGGACGATTTTTTGAAATATTGAACATCCGCAACATTTCAAATACTTTTTAGGAAGAGAACTATTTGAATTTTTAAAATTTTGGTGTCCGGTTCCATGAGACCGCTTCTGAAGAAAAATATAACCTTCTGAATGGAGGGGTTTGGATTGCAACGTAATTGCTACAAGGTTTAGTTTTTCAGATTATAAAATAAGGAAAATTGAGAGATCGAAAAAAAACTTGGTAGGTTTCTGAAAGTAGAAATCTTTGTGATTATTATCATGTATTGGTTTACGCAAAAATTTGGAAATTCCTTCTATTTAATGAATAAAACTTCATGTTGCCTCGATTCCCTCCTGAGCGAGACAGAGCGCGCGGATTGACCACGGTCCACCACTTCTCCATGTTGGTGACTGCCCACACATCAATGATGAGCATTAAATTATGTGAAAGACATAATAGTTAAAAGGGGGGTCGTACCGATACCCTCCGAAAAGGAAGGGGGTCGTAAAAATTTTGGAATTTGCGCAACGCAGGGTTGACCCTGCTCCCATCCCTGCACAGTGCCGGAAAGTAATAAAAAGGAGATGGTCCGCCGTGCAGAGGCGGGGATACTTCGGGAAACAGTCTGGGTCCCAACCCCGGGTTCGGAGGGAACTAGCCCGTAGGATGGGTCGTTCGCTGTTAGCGGAGTTTATGTAGTCATGTCAGGTAGCTTAGTAAGCGAAACCAACAACACGCTACAAACTTGAATAGACCCTATATAGTAACAGGAACGTATTCACCCTAGCCAGCGACAGAAAAAACACAGAGTCCGACCTTCATAGAATTTTCTCTTCATGACGACAGGAATGAGCAACTGTGAAATTCTGCGATAGAATTTCTCCGTGATGTAGTCATTACATAGGCTGTTCTCGAAGGAAATATAGAACCGATGGGTGGCTGAAAAAGAATACTTGCTGTAGTAATAGAGAACTTCATGAATACAGCCAAAAAAAGTAACACTTTGCCCATGGCGCATATAACCTAACTTTTTGTCGCAAAGTATACTGGATAAAGGATACGGATATGGTGGAATATTCCTAGGATTTCCCTCTATAAGAGAACCAGGCCCACCTTCGCCGCCCGTAAGGCGTAGAATCTGGCACGTCATTTTTGTACTCACAAGTCGAGCTCAAGGCATATTTACATATCGCTCCACTCTGAAAGCTGGCTACGTATTTTTCGATCGCATGACCGGTGAGTGGCTTCGTAGGGACATTAGCTCTGACTGTGCGGAGGCTTTTGATCAGCGTTTCAGACGACGTCGTAATCGTCTATGGTTTCTCGACGACATCGTTAAGCTCACACCGCGAACCATGTTTCCGTGGAAAAATCTTCTGATGTCGTCGCCGTGGAAAGCCCTTATGTATTTTTTGGAATGAATGAAAGAATAGAAGTGCTCTTCAAAATGCAATCAAGCCCATTAATCCATTCAATTCTGGCAAAGTGCGACCAATTTTGTTTCGAATGTTAATGGTAGTGACTCTTTTTGGCCCACCCCTCCACAACATCCTTTCAGGTTGTAACCACGTTGATAAAGGATGTAGGTTGACGAAACAAAGATATCACCTTGTACAGCTGACAGAGATGTCCTGGACAGTCGCACCGTGCAAAATGGGAATTCTAGTCGGCGAAAATTAGGTAAGGTAACGACAGCTACATAAGCTCTGACTCGATTCTTTTCTCCGAGTAGTTCCAATCATAGAATCGACCACTGAAGTATCCTCGACTGGCATTCTGTTTTGCTGATTAATATTGCTTCTAGTACTCGATGGTTTTACTCTACCGCTTCAAATATGTCCCCAAATCAAAAATTAGGCTTTAAAGCAAGTAGACTGCCATGGTCAAGTCATGGCTAGCGGTTATAAGTGTTGCCTGATTGATTTTCATGCTTTCGGCGAGGATTGAACCTTACAAGGAGGTTTTCAGGGCAAGGTGCGCTTTTTCAAAACGGTTTTGTGCATATTGTAGGGACGCATGTAGGGAACGCAAAACCATGTTTCATTTTCGCTGAACGGTTATAGCAGTACCAAAAAAGAAGCATAAGGTACTGTTAAGGGTTCGATCCCCCCGTAATGTCGGCGACTATAATTTTGCACTTGAGTTGGAACTATGTACTTCTTTTGGTATCACTTTTTTGGTACTACTGAATCTGCTCAGCGAAAACGAAACATGGAAGCGCACTTTGCCCTGAAAGACCGTCCCTTATGTTAGAGTAATTGTGCGTCCTTCGGCTGTGCGACTAGGACACCTTATCACGTAAGCCCTAAATCCGACCTAATTCATAAGGAAGTTAACGAATTCTATGGCCGAATAGCAGTAAAAGCGCTTTCGGAACGTTATATATGCTAAACATAAACCAATAGGGTTCCAGATCGAAAACTCTAGTTCGAAAACCGGTGTGCTTAGCGGCCATCAGAAAACGAATCGAAAAGAAGCAACGCACACGATTCTTCAATGGCCTACACTGGAAATGTTAAGGAGAGGTCGTGACTAAGTTAAAAAAAAACATCAGTGATAGCGATGGATGTTATCCGCGTCGTAAAGCGATTATGGCACCAATAAGCCTGGTCTTCCGCCCACCACCAACTTTACAGCGCCATATATTTCGCGCTTATACGAGAGTCATTGTGAATGAGTAAACTGTACAACCTGCGGAAAACATATGTTGTGTCAAGAACGTGTGGTGTACATATATAGTGGTGTACCTTACGTGTAACGGATTTTAGTTCGGAGAAACAAGGCCACTACACAACCCGAATTTTTTGCCTCCATTTTTCATAGAAACGCGGCGGATCCAGGAAAATAAGGGAAGCGCTAGAAATAAGACAACAGAAGCCACCGATGGACAAGAAGGTGGGGATGAAAGTGGCAATGAGTCAGGTGTCAATATAATACGTGCACTGTGAAAGAAGACAAAGTCTTGATCGGTTTTTCTCCGGGCAAAACTGTATATGTATGATATATACCCATAGATTTTGCTTACCATTCTTGCCAATGTTTGCATAGAGCTTGGCGTCCACGCTTTCCTCTACCTCCCAACCACCTAACTATCCTATAGGTTACTGTTGTTCAAGTTATTAGTGTTGTTGCTTAATAGTATGTGGTATTATAATATTATTCTTCTGCCAACGAGGTTGTTAGGTGGAGAACTTTATTAGTGGCCTGACGTTTCGACGAGATCGTCTTCCTCAAAGGCCCAGTCCACCACCGCGAGAGCGGAACAGCGCCACTACTGGTCAGTTATGATTAGTAACTGATCGAGTTAGGTTAATTGAGGCGACACTACTTATGGGACAACCTAACACAGTTGTGATACAACAGTGTGCAGAAGATTGCGGACTATTAAATGATTTCTAAATAATCAGAAACAAGACAAGTAAGAAAAAATCGTTAGCCGAAATAAGTGACACCTAGCCTTCCATCAACAGTAGAATGTGCCATCATTTGAACATCGAAACTGAAATTGAACTCACCAATGAGAGCGTCTTCATCACAATCGCTCTTGCATGAAGAACTGCGGGTACGATTGCCATAGCTCAATAACTTCTCACAACCTCCTCTGACCGTCACTTCTGTATATTGACCTAGCTCCCTTAAAGCAACAATCCAGGAACGAATTCGCGGGTAAGGACCACCTATAATGACGTTGCAGGTGAGAAGTTGGTCAATGGAGAAAGAAAAAGTAGAAAAAAACGTCGGGCAGGGGCTTAGACAGGGACTCCCCCTGCCGTTTAGAGGA